TTGAACTCGCGACCGCTTTGTCCGCTCTCAGACGATCCAACTGATTTGTCCGCTCTAACACCAGGCCATTTTCTCATCGGTTCAGCTCTCAACACCATCCCGGAACCAACGATCATTGACCTACCAAGCTCTCGACTCTCTCGGTGGCAACTCATTCGCCAAATGTTAGAACATTTTTGGAAGCGATGGAGTACAGAGTATCTACAACATCTACAAGCGATCTCGAAGTGGCAGCATCCTCTCAACTCCATCAAGATCGGATCACTCGTTCTGGTCAAGGATGAACGCTACCCGCCATCGAAGTGGGCTCTCGGCAGAGTCATTGATGTGCATCCGGGCAAGGACGATCTCGTGCGTGTTGCTACCATTCGGACTCAGCTCTCAGTTTATAAGCGACCAATTGTAAAACTCGTGTTGCTTCCGGTCTCAACAAATGAGGATTGTCAAAAGTAAAGTACAGTCGCGAGTGTGTGTACGTATCAATGTGTCTTTTCTCTCATGTTTGTTGGCAATCTGCCAGATTGCCAAGGCAGGCGGAATGTTTCGGCAAAAGAAATCCTGTCTCAGTAAAAGAAATCGCTTCAGGAATTTCAATTATATTGTCGAAATATCTTATGTAATCGGTCGAACGTTCGCGAAGGTTTTGTTTACATTATTAAGTCCTTCAACGGCTCACACTCATTTACACTTAATCGTCATGTATACACACACATTCATGCTCGCTCTCGTTCGAGCAACGAGAGCCCCTGATTAAGGACACAGTAAGTCGGCATCGCTCGAAGACAACAGACCAACAAGTCTCATTCAGTACATACGCGTATTAGAACCGAAAAGTGAATCTCTCTTCTAACCGCGTATTCTCTAAAGATCTCTCTCTCTCTCAGCTTCGGCCTTCTCCAATTCTCACCACCTCTCCTCACAGTTTCCTTTGGAGTTCTCTCACTGAACAGAGGGTTATTTATAATTTCTGATAAATCGTTCGCTGCTAATTCTGACTTTGAAGAATCTAACCATAGGTCCAGACTGGTTTTATTTGTCAGCGTGTAATCTCTTTTAACATTTATTTTGCTTTTTAAATTTGCTTCTAGTGTTTTATTTAGATTGGCAAATGTATTGTTTATCTCTTCAAAAGAATACGAATTACTGTTGTCCTCTGATATGTTTGTATCTATTGAATCTGTGTTTTCTCTAGACTGAGTATTTGCAGGTGTGGGAATAGTGTTATTAAAGGTAGAGTGGGAAACATTGTTAATATCGTCTTTATTTGGTACCTCTTCAAATTTCTCCGTAATAATCCTTATCTCCGATAGTGTAGTCTGGGCAGTAGCTAGTAATCTCTGGTTGGTCTCTGTATGTTTCTTTATTTGGTCATCACGTTCTCTGGCTCTGGTATAGTCTTTTGTGATTACATCGGTTATAAGTACGAATTGTCTGTTTAGTTTTTCCATGAATTCTCTCTGATTTTTGAAATGTTTTAGTAGTTCAATCATCATTTCTTCTGTTAGGAGAAAAAAAAATTAATGAATCTATGTTGTTTGCTCTGTTTCTCTTTGCGTTAGCTTTTTGTGTAAAATCATGCATTAGCGTTAGATATATGAATATGAGAGTATTTAAAAACCTCTTATGCTGTTGTCTCCACTTCTCCTTTCTGTTGATTTTGACTCATGTTGAAAATAAATTTTCTGTCAATGATAGAGAAAAAAAAAATGTACTCTCGTTATCATATGCATGATTTTCATTAATTTGTGGTACAAATTAATGAACTTTTATAATTTCGTGCATACAGCCCGCTGCCATATACTCCCTCCTAATCCGACTAGTCGTACCACGATTTCATCGTTACTTTATGGGTGGGGGCGATACAACGGCGGTCCACATTCACGAATATTTTTGCCTATTTGAAACGATAGTTCTGACATAGAAAGTTTTTAACGTGCGGGTGCAATCATTCTCTTCTCTGAATCTCTGATAAATTATTTAGATAACAGTTGATGCGCACACACGATTGTATGACTCTAAGACTCCAATTCAATATAATTGTTACATGTACATGTACGAATAATATCTTCTAACACTCTAATTAATCGTTTCAATAAGCACTGCATTATGAATTGCTATACGCACCGCGTTTTGCAAAGCATATGCAGTAAATTTTGGAAAATACATGGCATGTGTTATTTTATAATTCAAATTGTCTCTGGTTCTTTGTTTGCCGCGCAACACAAAATGGCTGCGCCTCGTGGCGTGTTTAACGGCTGAACATGTTCGAACCTGTTACCGATCCACGTGCTCGTAACAAAGAA